CATCTAGCGGCAAATCACGTTATCTTTGATAAGCCTGGTCCCCCGGCTCATCTTTTTCAAGGCAGGAGTACACGAAGCAAAGCAGTGACAGGGAACCAGGCTAAACTTTGATAAACTGGCCTGCCTGTCTGATATCGGATACGTGCTGTATACAGACAGGTGATCAGTAATGTTTAGAGTCCGCTGCTGACACGCTCATTGGCTGATAAAAACTCTCGCTGACATAGAATTTAAATTGTCGGGGAAACCAAAACAGATCACCGAGTGCAGTTCTCTGCTTTTGATGCAATTAATCTAATTCGGTCACAATATTTTCCACATACAATACATAATTCTTTTTTTTTCTCATGAACCTATAATTATCTCACACCTTTCACCTCACCTGAGGGTTTTTTTTTTATTAGTTTGCGAGGGTCTTATCACATTAATACCCTACATTACCTAGATAGAAGAAATCTGCACCATTGTTTAATTGAAACTGACATAGTTTAAATGTTCACTCACTGACTCAGCAGAGAGCTGCGGTTTATCTGTTTATAGCACAGGTTCAGAATTTCTGCTGCATCTATTTTTAGAATTCGTTATCACATGTTTCAGAAGAGCTTGCAAACAATATAGATGGGACAAACTGACCCACATGTTTCTATGTTTACATGACCAAAACAGTGGCTTGAATCTTACTTATTGAGTGGTGTAAATTTAGTAATATTAATGGCTAACCTGTGCAAAAAAGGAAGCAATAAAACACGGGTACCCATAAAACACTGTTGTTATGGAATCTGCAATAGTGACTCAAAGTATGCCCACAAAAAATATATGCAAGGAGTTGAATTTATTAGATTTCCCACACCTTGGAGAGATATTGAAAAAGTGTCAAGGTTGGGTGAATGCTTGTAAACGGTTCATTGGCGGATCCAGGGGGGGTGTCCCGGGGGTTGGAAGCCCCCTTTATTTTTTGTCAAATGGAGAGAGAGAGAGAGAGAATGAAACGTTTTCCGAGAATAAATTAAGAAACATGTATTTGTACGTCTAACTTATATATTGAATAGATAGATTCTCACACATTAAGTTCTTCCACTCTTATATTCCTTTTTTTTATGAAAGAATAGTAGAAAACATTCTACTTATATATATATATATATATATATATATATATATATATATATATATATATATATATATATATATATATATATTCAAAAAAATTATTTTTCCTTGGTATAGGGATAAAATAAAATCCAAATTCAAATGATAAACTCAAACTTTTATCTAAAGCGCTTTCGCCCCATGCGGGCTCATCAGTAGATTTTGAGGGAACTAACATGCAACTCTTTGTTTTAAACCCAACCCGCACCCCACCCCAATTTTTTTTTTAAATTACAAAAGAAAAGTTGTTGTACTCTTTGGAAATGCTGCAAATCCATTCAAATTTAAGGCTTCAGTAATTTTTTAATTTTTTTTTTAATTCGGAGTAGAGGTACCATTCCAAAGAAATAAATGGACGTAAACAGATATTATTTACCGAAACTTAAGATCTTCCATACGTGTGTGTGAATCTTTGTTTGAGAGTGTGTTTAGGGGGGGGGGTGTACAGAGACAGTACAACCCTGGAACCCCCCTTTCAAACATGGCTGGATCCGCCTCTGAAACGGGAAGGATTTTCAACGAAATTGGGTATTATCCGTAAAATCGCGTATAACACTGGATATAAGGGTATCGTTGAATCCGCGATATCTAGTAAAGGCGGTGTAATCACTTTATAAAACTTAAACAATGGGATGGCACATTTTGCGGAGTCAACTTTCACCAAGATGCAAATGTTTTTTAAAGGTATCACCAGTCAAGTAAGAAATTGGAATTCAGGATTGATGCGCACTGGACAACAAATACCTGTACAGCTTAGTACATTTCATGACCTGCACCCAAACAGGCATTTGTTCTGCTTAATATTTTTCATAATGTTGAAAATATTTGCATCCTCTTCATGTTCATACCCAACACAACAGAATTGTTAATTAAAAGTTGAATGTGCATGTAGATCTATGCATTGATATATCTGATTGCTTGTACCTCAGCTCATTTTAGTCCTGAAGATTTAGAGATGCTAAAGTACTTTTTGGCTTTCTCACATTTCAGGAAGCTCTTACCATGAGTCACTAACAATTAGAGTGGTTTGTTCTTTTGATGAAAAATAGGAATTCGGTAAATTACATAATTAAACATCAGACCACGATAACATAAATGAAGATGTGTTTGTGAAACACTGTTGCCCCCCGTGTTATAATACAGCAAAGATTAAACTTTTCTTAAATGCAAATTTAATATATTGGTACCAAAAGTAGGGTATTCTTACTAGAAATACAATTGTGAAATATGAAAGTAGGCTAAGGCTAAAGTTACTCCATAGGTACGGAAATCGCCAAGGTAAGGGTCAAAAGGTCATGATTGTTGGTATGCAATGAAAAGTCTTTCCACAAAGAATACATACTAGCAGTATGTGAAGTATGAAGCCCTAACCCTTCAAAAGTTATGACAAAGGATATTTTTTTTCAAAGTAGCCAAACTCCAAGGTCAAATGTCTTGCTATAAAATGAAAGGTCTTGTCATAAGGATTAAATATTTAAAGTATGAAAGCACTAACCCTAAAGCTTTAAAAGTAATTCTCAAGATGTGCTATATAAAAGTAGGTCAAACTTCAAGGTCAAAGGGTCAAAGTTCTTGGTATCCAATGTAGGGTCTTCTTACAAGGATTACATATGTGAAGTATGAAAGCACAATATCCCTTACCATTCAAAAGTTATGGCCAAGGTTAAAGTTTTTTCATAAGTATGAAATCTCGAAGGTCAAGGTCAAAAGGTCAAGGTTGTTAATATCCAATGAAAGGTCTTTCCACCAAGAATACATATATGAAGTATAAATGTCCTGGTATCTACTGTTCAAAAGATATGGCCAACTACCCTTAGGCAAATGTTGGGGTCACAATATGAATAAAAAATTCCCAAAAGACAAACAATCATGTTCATGTTAAGCCTCCGTCTATCAGTACTTTCAGTACTTTGATTTCTTCAGCAGTCGTAATTCGAATGACATTTTTCGGCTTAATGGCCGAGATAAAGAATTTGGTACAGTGTATTTTCAAGGGTCATGTGTTAATAGACTTGTAACAAGAAAATTATCTTTACACTCTAACATGGATGAAGAAAGCTGTATTACTGGTTTAATTATCATTAGGTCAGGAGAAAACAATTAATATTCAGTTTCCCTTATAAAATTCAATAATACAGAACAAATTTTGAACTTTATATTTATGAATACACAAGTTATATCTTATTTTTGAGATTTTAAATTAAAAAAAATGTTTCTGTACATGGGTATGTGTTTATTGCTGCTACCAATATAAAACATTATGCTAGTTTTTGAATGTGTCAAAAACTAAAACTGATTTTAAGATTGATTTGATTTCCTACTGGAAAAACACGAAATGTGTAGTAACCACGATCAATCAAATTGGTTTGGTTTAGATTTGACAGCCTTCATTTAAATCCCCCGAAGTTTTTTTTTTGGTTAGCTACCGACTTGTTTTCAATAGACTTAAAGAATCCGAAATTCATTAAGCATTTAATAGATTTTTTCTTTCACCGGTTTTGTTGAAACCTGTATAAATATAGAATGCACTTGTATAATATTACGTTATTTGGATGTTGGTTAATTGGGGAAATAACTTCTTTCGCCCTAAATTTTAAATCGAAATTAAACTGCATAGTTGATGATCTCATTTTATTTGGGGCTGAACAAAGAGCTTAACTATGAGTATAAATGTGTCTATTATGTTAAGTGCTCTGTTATGCATTTTAAAAAATGTTTGCCTAATGGGTATTTAATGCTGGAAATATTTTCGCCCCTTGGTTTTGTTTGATGAAAAAAAAATCATTGTCCCATGCCTGTTTGTACCGGTCCAATTTTGATTAATTTATCCTGGTCCCTTATTTAGATCTATCTCTATTGTGTTATTATTCGACGTTGGTGGTAGATTCCTAATACAGAAGCACATGTTGGTTGTATTATTATTTGTGTCTTATAAATATTCAAAGGCCTCGCTAAAGGTTTAACAAATGGAAATACAGAGAGAAAATATCATGTTAAAACCGGTCCGTGGAAGCGTTATGAACATGCATTCAATAATGAAGTTGAAGATATGCTTTATCAAACATTAAAAGACTGCACAAAAAGATATCTCTTATCTCTTTGTTTTTTATTGAACATCGTTTGTGTTTTGCAATGTAAAGTATGTCAATGAGTTTTCTTAAAATAGACTGCACTGAATTATGTTTCTTGTCCTTCTATTTGATGTATTAGTCACAAGAGTTTAAGGAGGCTAGGGGGTAAACAAATTATTTTATTTATTAACTACCAGATATAACTTAAATTTTGGGATATGATATCTTAAGCTGTCAACTATCATTTGGCAAAGAAAAATTTCATTAACTTTAGTTTTAAAATCTGATCATTTTATTATATTTTTATATGGAGCTCTTCTTCTAAGAAAGATCAAAATAGTCTTAAAATGGCCACGAACATCCAGCCTCTTGAAATGTAATTTGATTCTTTTGCATGGAATAAATATTTTCTTTAAAGCCACAGTATTAACAAATCCGAACATTTTTGTGTACTTTACGTATTCTGAAAGTAAAACTATTTCACGGAGGAGATCTTGGAAGGATAAAATCTTCTTAATTTAAGGTTTGCATGCGTGGAATAATTAAAACCTCGTCCTCCTAAATTTTTGGCTGGTGACATTTGTATAACTGACAAACTAACCAGGAAGTAGAGTTCGATCGACCTTCACCAAATGATAATTTAAAAAATCTAATTATATAATACTTGAGAATTCAAAGCAAGCGCTCATTTCTTCACCATGGCCGTTAATGCAACAACAAAATAATGCATAGCGGTCAATACTTTAGAGAAAGAAAGTGAAGACTTTTTCCTGAATAAAAAAAATGGACGAAGAGGTAAGTAGAAGCCAGACCAAAATGTGAATTTAAAAGAAAAAAAAATAAGAATTTACATAGCAAAATTTTAAGACTTAACAAAAGAGGAGGCAGGTTTGAAAGTCAGTACAACTCGACTGTGTGACAAGCTATTACATATTTTTGATGTTTTTGTTTCAAAGGTAGAAGAAATATGGCAGATATTGGAGAAAACATACAAGAAACGACCAAAACTTGTTCTGTCCGTAGTTGGGGATTCAGAAACCTTCGTTCCTAAAGTTTGGTCACGAGATGTATTCCAAACAGCGCTTATAGAGGCTGCAAAGTACAGCGGAGGGGGTAAGCAATAATATTTTATTTGACTTTTTTGTTTTTGCTTTGTTTTGTTTTTGTTTGTTCGTGTATTGTTGTTTGTTTGTTTGTTTGTTTTTTGAATATGTGCTTGCTTTAAATTTCTAGTCACCGCCGAGAATCTGCACATTCTTTCATTATGAAATGAAAATACTGAAACTTAATTATGTATGAATGTAGTATATAGATGCTAATTTCTATTTAATTCGCAATATATGCACGTGACCAATCATGTTGAAAAGAAATTCTACAAAAAAAAAACATTTAAGGATTTCTATCCCCAAAAGATACATAATACTCTGATATTTAATTAAAGCATTTTAAAGTAGAAAAGGATTGCCCGCGACATACTTTGAAAAAATTCATTAATTAAGCAGTAGTTAATTAACAAAGGTCTTAGTCGTAAGTTCTGTTGTTAAACGGGTCCCTGGATTTTCTGAAGCATGAAACTTAAAAAATTATTACTGCTCTCTAATTTCCTGTACCTTTTACAAGTGCAATATACATACACTTTCAACAGTATTGTGATTAGTTTTATTTAACTATTTGTAAAATAAAGGGTTCTGGGAGTTGTATAAAAAAGTCATATCTTCTCTGTACATTTTCTAATTTTCATAAAATTATATTGCATTAAATGGGTATTTGAATCAGATTGGAATTCTGCACTTAAAGAGGCTTGGGGTGGCAGCCATTTTCAAACTATTTCGATCTCCTTTAAAAATAGAGCTCCATATAAAGATATACAAAAATGATCAAATTTTTAAATTAAAATGTATGAATTTTTTCTCTGCCAAATGATAGTTGACGGCTTAGGATACCGTATCTAAGAAAATAAATTAAATCTGGTGGTTAGTTTGTGGTAAATTTGTTGACCCCCAAGCCTCCTTAAAAAAGGCCCAACCTTCATCACGTCTTCGAGCCATGAACTTATCTACAGAATAAATATCATCTGCAATAAGAGATGGTTCATTAAAGATAATCTTTCAGAGAATTGTGGTTCCCCGCTCTCGCTGTCATACTGGGGTGGATGACATTAGTTATGGCATATTGTGATAAATATGAAAGTTCTATCAAATGGCAAACTTGAATATATCATAAATTAAAATTTTTGAAAATTGGGTCAAATATGAATGTCAAGGGTAAAAAATAGCAAACTCGGAGAAATCTTGATATAGGTAATGTGCATATCAAACACGATAGCCCCATCTCTTCTCAATCAAGATTTTTGAAAAGAAGGTCAAGGACATAGGGTCAAAAATCATACTACATAATTATTTAGTGAATAAGGTATGGTCGCAGGTAATACATACACATGTATGTTTAATATAAAAGTCCTTTCTTTCTCTATCAAAAGTTTTGACAAATTGAAAAAAAATTTAAAACTCTGACTTGAAGGTCAAAGGGCCAAATCCATAGTTTATTTGAGAAAATTTTGTCACGGGTAATGTACATGTGAAATATAAAAAAAAAAACATTATCTCTTCCCATGCAAAGGATATGACCAAGATTATCGGGAGAATGATAGACAGATAAGAGTAGAAGACAAGAGTGATAACTACAGAGTATCTGTAAATCCTTGCACAGGTCATAATAATAAACGTAATTTCAGAAGATTTTAACTAAAATTCATATATAGAAATTAAAATCAATCATGTTAACATAGCTGATTTAGTGCTTGTTTTGGCAGCTTTACTGTCTTGTTGCTTGCAAAATAATTTATAAATCTAAAATGACGTGTAAGAAAGTCTTTTCAATAAAAAAAAATGTCAGCTTTGCACCCGTCTCTAATTCGTCCAATTTAAAAGTAAATATCCCTTCAAATAAAGAGTATATTCAATAATTTTCAATGATATTGTGATGGTAAATTGGAACTCGGCCAAGATCCGGAATAAGATCGAAGAATGCAAGAGGTATCAGTGCACCTTTAAAAAGGGCTATGTATGGCACGCCAAATTCACAAAAATGAGCAAAACATAGTTTCACAGTCGATAAGCTAGGTTTATCGATTGTAAACTATAGTTTACGGACTGTAAACTATAGTTAACAACGTTAATCTATATTTTACACCTGTAAACTATAGTTAACGCGATAATCTATGTTTCACAACCGGAAAATATACTTATCACCGAAAACAATCATTTGCGATCGCAAAACATAGATTATCTGATAATTACAGTTTCAAGATTGTAAACTATGGTTTACAACTCTCAACTTTAGTTAACGATCGAAAATCATAGTTTACAGACGTGAATCTATGTTTATCAACAAAATCTATTGTTAACGTTTTATTAAAGACAGATTAACTTAGATTATCATTCGTTAACTATAGTTAACAAACGTTAAATATAGTTTTACAGATGAAAACTATACTTAACGTATTGTAAACCATAGTTCGGGGTTAGTAACTATAGTTTACAGTCGATAAATCTAGTTTATCAATTGTGAAACTATGTTTAGCACGCCAAATTCACAAAAATGAGCTAATCATAGTTTCACAGTCGATAAACTAGGTTTATCGGTTGTAAACTATAGTTTACGGACTGTTAAATATAGTAACAACGTTAATCTATATTTTACATTTGTAAACCATAGTTAACGCGATAATCTGTTTCAATACCGTAAAATATACTTAACACCGAAAACAATCATTTGCGATCGCAAAACATAGATTATCTGATAAATACAGATTCACGATTTGTAAACTATGGTTTACAACTCTTAACTATAGTTAACGATCGTGAATTAAAGTTAACAGAAGTGAATCTGTTTATCAACAAAATCTATTGTTAACGTTTATTGCAGACAGATAAACTTAGATTAGCATTCGTAAACTATAGTTAACAACCGTTAAATATAGTTTTACAGATGAAAACTATACTTAACGAACCGTTAACTATAGTTTTTGGTTTGTAAACTATAGTTTACAGTCGATAAACCTATTTTATCAATTGTGAAACTAGGTTTAACTAAGTTTGCTAGATTTGTGAATTTGGCGTGCCATAGCTATGTATTTGGCACTTCCTTTTTTGTTTTGAATTTAAACAAAAGAATACGTTGAATTTTTTTGTACATACAGAAAAACTTTATGAACAACCCTATAACTTTTAATAACTTATGAGGCATTGATAATGTTTTCTTTAAATTTATAGATACATGGATTCTGTATTGTGGAAGTCGTAAAAGCACCGTGTCTTCGATGATTTCAGAAGCATTTGATACATATACCCATTTAGAAAATCTACATTCGTATCCAAAGGAAGCTGAATCTTTTCCAATTAAACCAATTACGCTTTCTTTTGAAAACGATTCCAAAAAGGACAGAAAGGTTTTGTAATATAAGTTTTGAAGTTAAGACAGGCCACCTGTTTTAACCATTTTCTTCAATGCATAGTAAGTTTACATATTTTTGTGGGTGATACTAAAACATCTATAATTTTTCATTTATAATATAATTAATACGGATTGATTAAGCAGCAAATAAGGAAGTAATCGATATTAAGGCAAACATTTCGAATTTCCATTTCAATGTGAACATAGTGTGCATGTGTAAAAGATGCCATGTAGAAACTGTTAATTAAAATATATACACGGCCCACATGTTTTGACAAAAAACTTTGATTAGCGAGAACTTTATATTCGCGCATATCTATCTACATATTCATTTATTTAAATTGTAGCCGACACAATTGACGGGCCTCATTGAATGTATGTTTCATGGGGATCCAGAGAAATTCGATGAGTATCGCTTACAGCTAGAAAGCTACATTCATAACCAGACGGTTTCTTTTATGGACGAGGGGGAGCTGAAATTGGGTACATTTAAACTTCAATGGAATATATGAATGGAAATTTACATGCTATTCCTTTTGAAATGTCAAGATACAATGATAAATTATTATTTTTATGCCTCTGGATCGAGAGATCCCGGGGGTATATTGATTTGTCCCATCTGTTTGTCTGTCTAGCTTTTTTTTCTGTCTGTCTTTTGTCAACTTTAACCGAGCCCAAAGCTATTGAGGGAGTGGGGCTATGACTTTCATACCAGTATTTCTTTAGTGTATTCCTTGTGACAATACAATTATTTGGGTACCACCAAATTTGACTTCTTCATCTTGACCGTGAAGTTTGAACTACTTTTACAAAAAAATACCACACTTTAATCTTGCCCTTAACTTTTGAACAATTAGAGCTAGAAATTTCATACTTCACATATGCATTTATTGTAACAAGACCTTTCAGCTGGTATAAATATTTTTTACCTTGTGACCTTGACCTAAGAGTTTGACCCACTTTTTAAAACTTTAACTTGGTCATTATTTTTGAACAGTTAGAACTAGGGTATTTATATTTTACAGTACAGGTGTATTCCTAGAAATGACACTGATCTTTGGGATTTGACATGAATTTGAGAGAATTCAACCCTCGCCATAACCTGCCATACGGGGGGCATCAGTGTTTCACAAACACATCTTGTACTAAAACTACTTTTTACCTCCCTGAGCCATCATTCTTTCTAGGGAATAGATGCATCTGTTGCATTGTTATATATGTAAGAGCTTTATTTGTGAAAAATTTACAAAAGATAAGTCGGATGTCGTAGCAGAAATGTCATTTGAATAAACGGGGGAATGCTTTCAAACATATTCCTTTATCTCCTTTGTGAAGTCTGTACACACAATTGTGAGTTTATAGATATTTCTTTATTTTTGTCCTCAGATTTACCTATCCCAGTTGTTCGAATCTTAGTGGAAGGTGATTTAAACAGCATCCACGGTATAGCCGAGTCTGTAAACAGAAATTTGCCTGTGGTGATCGTAAAGGGTTCAGGAAAGGCGGCTGATCTCACAGTGGACTACATCGAGAAGTATCACTAGTATTTTAGTTAAAAATCAAACGTAATTAGCATACCAAAATACTGATTCCCATATTATAAAGTACTAGTTTACTTTTGTTAAAAGTATTGAGTAAGAAAAGAAAAACATTTTTTTCATCGAGATATTTAATTGTTTTAAGATCTATATTATTGAATATGAACCTTTTTTTCCTTATTTCAAACCTTAATGTAAATCGCAGATATGGTACAGGTAATTCAATCTTGAAACACTTTAAGACATTTGCAATAATTTGAGGAAAAAAGAAAAATGATATATGGCTTCATAACCGAGTCTTGACCTACAAAACCTTTTTAGGTCACCTGAGTAAACGCAGATGACCTATTGCTATCCGTTTTCGTTCGTCAACGTCCGTTGTGTGTTAACATTTGAACATTTTAAGCTTCTTCTCTGAAACCACTGAACCAATTTTGGCATAAAGCATCTATGGATAAAGGGGAACAAAAATTGTGAATTTCATGGTCCCTGCCCCCTGACGCCTGAGGGGTGGGGCCAAAACCATTAAAATTGATACAATTTTTAAAAATCTTATTCATTACTCCTGGACATCAAGCAGTCAAACTGTTTGCATGATTGTAATTAGCATTGAGTCGTCTACCAAAATTATGAAATTCATGGCCCCGGGGTCAGGGGTTCTAGTGCTAGGGCGGGGCTATATACGAGATAGATAGTGAACATGCATTATTTCTTTGAAAATCGTCTTCTCTGCTCCTTGGCATTAAATAAACAAACCAAGTACATAGTTTTGTTGAATAAGGCTGCCTCTTACAAAATTTTGAATTTTATTGCCCCAGGGTCAGGGGTTCTGGTGTTAGTATTGATTATATAGTGAAAATACATGAATTCTTTGAAAATCTTCTTCTTTGCTCCTAGGTATTAAAGAAACTAGCTAAGTGCATAGCCATGATGAGCAAGAGTACCTCTTCCAAAATTGTGAATTTTATGGCCCCAGGGTCAGGGATTTTTGTGTTTGGGCGGTGCTCTATTGATTACATAGTGAAAATACATTAAATCTTTGAAAATCTTCTCTGCTCCTGGGCATTAAATAAATTGAATAAGTACATAATTACGTTGAATAAGGTAACCTCTTCCAAATTTGTGAATTTTATGGCCCCAGGGTCAGGGATTTTTGTGTTAGGGCGGGGCTCTATTGATTATATAGTGAAAATGAATTAATTCTTTGAAAATTTTCTTCTCTGCCCCTGGGTATTAAATAAACAAACTAAGTACATAGTTATGATGGGCAAAAGTGCCTCTTTTAAAGTTGTGAATTTCATGGCCCCAGGGTCAGGGGTTCTGGTGTTATTGCGGGGCTCTATTGATTATATAGTGAAAATACATTCAATCTTTGAAAGTCTTCTTCTCTGCTCCTGGGCATTAAATAGACTAACAAAGTAGATAGTTATGATGGGCAAGAGTGCCTCTTACAAAATTGTGAATTTTATGGCCCCAGGGTAGGGGGTTCTGGTGTTAGGGCGGGGCTCTATTGATTATATAGTGAAAATACATTAATTCTTTGAAAGTCTTCTTCACTGCTCCATGTATTAAATAAACTACGTAAGTACAAAGTTATGATGGGAAAGTTTGTTTGTTTGTTTATTCAGGAAATGGCACAAGTCATATATGAAACATAAGATAGAAACATTAGAACATAATTGGCACATGGAATCCAAAAAAATCATAAGATTTCGTAAAAAATACAATTGTAATAAAACACTGGCATTATTTCATAAAAAACAAGTACTCAAGAAAAAACATTTAATTCAGTGTATCTAAAAGAGAATGGCGGGTAACTATATAATTTTTGTACTAAGTATAGCCATTTACCCGAGGATGACCCATAAAAGCAATAATGTGCTTATTTCCAATGGGGTCCTCATAAATTGTAATAGTAATTAACCTACTTAGCACTAAATGCTATGATATAAATAAGAATAAATTAAACATAAATGAATAAGACAATATATATGTTTTAGGAAGCTAATAGAATAAAAACTCATTTTCAGATATTGAGCGCATTTTAAATAAAAGGTGTTTTTTTAATTCTTTTTTGAAAACAGCTTTGTTTTTGATGGATTTTATCTCATCTGGAAGTGAATTCCACTCCTTGATACCATTATAGTAGAAAGTATCCGACTCTGACTTAACAATTCTTGGGATAAAAAAGTTCAACTTGCTGGACCTAGTTGTTCTAGTTGTTCTTGTAGAATTTTGAATAAAATGCTCAGATAAATAATTTGGACATTTCTCAAGAAAAAAAAAATAAAAACTTGATTAAGTTGAGAAACTCTATTACCGAAATTCAAGAAGCCTACACATTCGTCAAAAGTAATTCTCTTCCTTTGAAGGCTATTGAGTATAAACCTGATAACTTTATTTTGAGCAACTAGTAGTCTATTTTTCATATTTTTTGTCAAACCTTCATACCAACAAGAGCAAGCACAGTCAAAATGACACTGGATTAAAGCTGTACATAAATATTTTCTTGACAAAAAAGTTAAACAATCTTTATATCTAAAAAGAAATTTCAGTCGCTGATTGGTCTTGCTGATAATATTTTCAACAATTTTTTCACCAGAGAGTATATTATCTAAAAATACACCCAAATATTTCACACATGTTTTTGTTTCAATTCTGACTCCATTACAAAATAATGAAAAAGATTCAAGATTAAACTTATCAAGTTTTCGTCGAGTACCAAACAAAATGAGTTCTAACATACAAGAGAGTTTTTAGAAATAACATCTGGATCTTTGTGGGAAAAAAGTATAGCAGTATCATCAGCATATAAAAGCACTTTACATTCATGGTCTATACAAGTATGTAAGTCATTGACATAAATCAAAAACAAAAGAGGCCCAAGCAAACTTCCCTGAGGTACTCCGCATGTTACATCACATAATGTAGAATTTGTATTATTAACATTTACAAGTTGTTTCCTGTTGCACATATATGATTTAAACCATTCGATTGATTGAGTACCAATGGCACTAAGTTTCTCACACAAAATATCATTCATGATCAACTGTGTCAAATGCAAGAGTGTCTTTTCCAGAATTGTGAAAAACATAGCCCCAGGGTCAGAGGTTCTGGTGTTTTATTATCATTATATAATGAAAAGACATTAAATCTTTGAAAATCTTTGAAAATTTTCTTCTCTGCTACCCCTGGTTATTAAGCAAATGAACTACCTATATAGTTATGATGAGCAAGGGCCCTTTCTCGAGAATTGTGAAAAACAAGGCCCCAGGGTCAGGGGGACCGGGGGGGGGGCTCTACTTATATACTGATAATGAATTAATTGTTTGAAATCTGCTCCTTTGTATTAATCAAACATTATTTTTTGATAAGCAAGGGTGCCTTTTTGAAAGTTGTTCAATGTATGGACCTAAGGTCAGGGGTTTATGTCATAGTGTTAGGGACACTACTGATTATTGCTGAATATTACTGATTACATGTAGTTGTAATGCATTTTTGTTCCCCTACCCTGCCTATGGGTATTAAGTAACCAAACTAAGCAATTGCTAAGTATTTAAGTCTGACGTTATGATGAGCAATGGTGCCTCTTTCAAAATTGTGAATGCCATAGCATCTAGCTTAAGATATGAAGCAAATTCAATCACTCGAAAGTTGTTGCATGATGCTCAGGTGACCTGTAAGGCCCATGGGTCTCTTGTTTCTTTTAGGCCCGAATCTCTAAAAACCAATGCAGCCCTTCTATTTGGAATTCGATTTCGAAATGAGACCTTTGATTCACTGAGGGAAAGCCTTGAACAGATCAAATCTTCTGAAAATCTAGTAATATATATATTCGTAGTAAAACGAAATTATAATTTTTACCTAAAAAAACTATATTTCAACTCTTACAGTATAGTGATGAGGATTATTGAGAAAGAGGACAAGTCAAAAAATAATTGTATAATTTTCAAACATGTCCATTATGTGGCTAGATTTGTTACATTTCAGGTTAACATATTTGATGTAGAGAATAAAACAGCAGGTTCTTTCCTTCAAGTGATCGGAGAAGCTGTGGTCCGCGCCTCGGCCCACTCTCAAGTCAACGACAAAGGTAAAGAGATATAAGATATGTTTCTCCTCTAGCTCTTTGATATCACTCATCGAATTTTCATTCATATTTCATTCCTGAAACCTGAATACAGGGAATAAAAGCTTTAACTCTCTTATGAATACTGATTTTTAAATTTGAAATAGGACATACATGTACTGTTTTTTTTTAAATGGTATATATACAGAGTAATTGATGTATAAAGTGATCCTTGCTCTTTAATAATATTTCACTGCAAGTTAAATGTAACCAAATATGTAGATAAGTCCTTTTCCTTGTTTTAAGTTTTCAGCAGATAATTTTTTAATAGGCAAACGTAAACACACAAGAACCACAGTGCCTGAAGAGCCCATTGCTTGTGTGAATGAACAGAAGCTTGGCAGAAAGAAGTTCAAGAAGAGACAGTTCCGGAAATGTTTGTCTACTTCTGATTACATCATACAGTCGGATGCGATGCCGGTCTCGGTGCCTCTGTTTTTCTACTTTGGATATCAATATCTACAACACATAGGAAAACTACTGGATTATGGATATGTAAATATGAATTTTTTTTCCTTATTAAAGCTCATTAGGTCACCTGAGTAAACTCAAGTGACCTATTGCTATCCATTTTCGTCCGTCGTCGTCCGTCATTCATCGTGCGTTAACATTTAAACATTTTCAGCTTCTTCTCTGAAACCGCTGAACCAATTTTAACCAAATTTGGTATACAGCATCTGTGGGTAAAGGGGAACAAAAATTGTGAATTTCATGGTCCCTGTGCCCCTGGTGCCTGGGGTGGGGCCAAAACCACAAAAATTAGTGCAATCTTTAAAAAAATCTTCTTCTTTACTCCTGGACATCAAGCAGTCAAACTGTTGGTATGATTGTAATCAACATTGAGTCCTCTACCAAAATTGTGAAATTCATGGCCCCAGGGTCAGGGGTTCTAGTGCTAGGGCGGGGCAATATTGATTATATAGTGAAAATGCATTATTTCTTTGAAAATCTTCTTCTCTGCTCCTAGGTATTAAATAAACTAAGTACATAGATATGATACGCAAGAGTGCCTCTACCAAAATTATGAATTTTATGGCCCCAGGGTCAAGGGTTCTGGTGTGGGGGGGGGGCTCTATTGATTATATAGTGAAAATACATGAATTCTTTGAAAATCTTTTTCTCTGCTTCTGGGTATTAAATAAACTAACTAAGTAAATAGTTATGATGAGCAAGAGTGCCTCTACCAATATTGTGAATTTTATGGCCCCAGAGTCAGGGGTTAAGGTGTTAGGGCAGGGCTCTATTGATTATATATAGTGAAAATGCATTATTTCTTTGAAAATCTTCTCTGTTCCCAAGTACTAAATAAACTAATTAAGTAAATAGATATGATGAGCAAGAGTGCCTCTACCAAAATTGTGAATTTTATGGCCCCAGGGTCAGGGGTTCTGGCCTGGGGGGGGGGGGGCTCTATTGATTATATAGTGAAAATGTATCAAATCTTTGAACATCTTCTTCTCTGCTCTTAGGAATTAAATAAACTAGCTAAGGACATAGTTATGATGAGCAAGAGTGCCTCTACCAAAATTGTGAATTTTATGGCCCCAGTGTCAGGGGTTCTGATGTTAAGGCGGGGCTCTATTGATCATATAGTGAAAATGCATTAATTCTTTGAAAATCTTCTTCTCTGCTTCTGGGTATTAATTAAGTAAATAGTTATGATGAGCAAGAGTGCCTCTTCCAAAATTGAGAATTTTATGTCCCCAGGGTCAGGGGTTATGGTGTTAAGGTGTGGCTCTATAATAATTCTATAGTGAAAATACATTACATCTATGAAAATCTTTTTCTCTACTCCTGGGGTAATAAACAGATGAACTACCTATATAGTTATGGTGTGCAAGGGCTCTTCTTCCAGAATTGTGAATTTCAAGGCCCTTGCGTCAGAGATACCAAAAGGGGGGGGGGGCTCTACTTATATACTGAAAATGAATTGTTTGAAATCTGCTCTTTGGTATTAATCAAATATTTTTGATAAGCAAGTGTGCCTTTTCAAAAGTTGTGCAATGTGTAGACTTAGGGTCAGGGGTTCATGTGAGGTAGAGGCACTTCTGATTATTGTTGAATACTACTGATTGGTTGAAATGCATTTTTTGTTCCCCTACCCTGCTTATGGGTATTAAGTAAACAAACTAAGCAATTGTTAAGTGTATAGTTATGATTAACAATGGTGCCTCTTTCAAAATTGTGAATGTCATCTAGCCTAAAACATGAACCAAATTCAATCATTTGAAAGTTGTTGCATGATGCTCAGGTGACCTATAAGGCCCATGGGCCTCTTGTTTTAAATTGTTAACTTATCTATTAATAAATCGAATGATTGAGTAGGGATTTAAATGATCCAATTGGAATCACAAGATGAAACACACCCTTTAAGCCTGGTTTAATGGTGGCTTATAGGTCCTTAATGATGGTTTAATGGTTGTCTTTAAGTCACCATTAAGCACCTTTAAGTAACATTTACACCACCATTAAGTTACCATTAAGCCATCTCAAAGTCCTTAATGGGTGCTTAAATGTAGCTTAATGGTGGCTTACAGGTCCTTAATGGTAGCTTTTATATCACCATTAAGTCACCATTAACCTACCATTAAGCCACACTTACACGTGCGTAATGTCCAAACTCCATTAAGCCACCATTAAGCTACCATTAAGCCACCATTACGCAGTCGATAATACTGTTTTTATTGGTGAATTATTATTTTTAGAGCGATTTATTATCAAAATTATAAATGTCGAGTTCACACATATCTTGATTTGGTAAAAATAATGAAAAAGAACGAAATGCAAAATTCAAAAAAAAAAAAAAAAAAAAGGTGGTCGGATGTGGGGCGCGAACCCACGACCTTTGGAGTAGATGGCAGTTGCCTTACCCATTAGGCTATCAGTGCTCTTAATTTTAATCGAAAATATTAAACCTTAATTGATCACAAAATTTATTTGGACTTGTAAAAGTATTCATTTTGTTGAACATTTCCAAAGGCTTGAACTGATTTATTAATCAAAATGTAAACAATTTTATTTATGGGTCTTTTTAAAAGGCTTATATCACATTAATATTTCTAAACCGTTGAGTTCCGCTTTTAGATTGATGTAATGAATTCTTCGCTCTGTTATTCGAAGATTTATATATGTAAGCATTAAATCATGATTGAAATTAGATGAAGCATAAAATCTATCATCGAAAAAGAAAGATGAAAAAAAAACCAAATTCTACTGTTTTATATGCTGCGGATATTAACGGTTTTTGTGTATACAATTTAGTGACAATCTGTTACCTGGTTACGTTTACAAAAACTTTTTTAGAATATCAAATTCAGTTTAAATTCTTTCTGTATCATAATGGGTATAAAAATAATTGTCCTTTTACAATGAATCATAATTTTTAATTGGTTATATGCTTGCGTTAAATTTAAATTTTGTAAAAATAATTGATCATCAAAATCTGTCAGTGTACGTTGTCTATGTATAGTTTCCTATTAGTTAACCAGGGACGGTGGACACACCTAATTAAGGTTTATTGTCTGACCAGTCGGTATACTGTACACTGTTAATCTTACCCCGATTCCCAGTGTGTATAAATCTGGTCGGATGTCATGTTTAATCTGATCGGCTGTTCTTCTGAAAATCGACTTTGAAATAACAGTCATTGAAGACCGACGAGATTTTGACAGATACTTTCCGCTGCATTATATAATTTTTAAAATAACGAATTAATTCAAATTATTCATGATGTAAAAGTCAATCTTTGATAACTTAACTTTTTTATACCGGTAGTCCCCCCCCCCCCCCAAAAAAAGAGAGATTTTTTTTTTCATGAGAACATATGACTTTATATTCCTGTGAATTCTGTTGTAGAATGTTGCTTTTAACACATGAAAAAAAAATACCATCTTTTTTTTTTTAAGAAGTAATATATATTTTGTGTTCATGGATAAAGATAATTTTCAATTTGATTTTCGGTAGTGAAAAATTAAAATATTTCACAGTGGCTTGCTCCCGGCGTGTAATAATTATTTATTTCAGAAAAAATCATATACACTAATAATAAAAACAACGCATGTAATAATTATTTATTTCAAATAAAATCATATACGGTAATGATAAAGCATGTCTTGTTTTATTATTACTGTAAATGATTTTTTAAAATAAATAATTATTAGACACCGGGAGCAAGCCCCTATGGCTATTAGCTAACTTTGTTCTCATTGCCCGAGTTTATGCGTGTTGACAAAAATGTTATATAGAAATTACGATCGAGACAAAATTATGAGTTGAAATAGATTTTGCGTAAATGATATTGAAATAACTTAAAAAGTTAGTTCAAAGATTCGATATAAGATGCGTAAAAAATTAATGAGGTTTGACCATTAAGTAACCATTAAGCTCAGCTTAAAGGTGGCTTAATGGTAGCTTAATGAAGTGTGGACATTAAGCACCTGTAAGTTGCAGCTTAATGGTAGCTTAATGGTGTTAATTCCATTAAGCACCTATAAGCCACCATTAAGCCACCATTAAGCGACTGCTTAAAGGTGGTGTTTCGTCCTGTGAATTAGTTGGGATTTAAAGAGTGTACACTTTATTTAGAAAGAAAAGCTTTGAGGTTTATGATTACGTTAACAGAAATTTTTTTCAATGTGTTTTTATGGAGGACAGCTTTGGAATTTTTTAACATTACAAATGTATATACAGTGTTTACCTTTATTGAATAAGTACACATTTATCACCAGTCTATGTTGTGTTGAAACAGTTACATGTAGAATCTTTTCATATAATATATTTTTTGGGGAACCCAAGCGTAGGTTGGTTGGTTAATTGGTGCCACCTTCTTTCAAAACAAAATTGTTTACTAGCTCACTACCTTTCCCTTATTTGACTATATTGCAACAGAAAAGGGAGAGCATCCCCCCGATGCTACATGTACGTGCCTTATATAGATATGTTTGACTTTTCGTTCTCAAGTTCTTGCTGTACCAGGCCTTGAAGACAAATAGATGTGATTACGTCAATGCCTTGGTTTCTGAAGAAGTGAAGTTTAAAGCCACTTACCTAGCAAAACTTTACGCTAAGGTAAGACCAAGGAGTGATATTTTTTGTTTCATTTTCAATGTATGTATTTAAGTTGTGCTACAAAACATATCTATATCTAATGTGGTTTATAATTTTCCTCTATACAGACTTTCCCAGTCACAAAAACTAGATATTGTTGTAGGCGGAACTGGGAAGACTTCGTTGTAAGTCAATGAACCACTAACAAAAAGAAACAAATTCTTTCTTCTTAAAAAAATTAATTTAAAAGTAAAGAACTTCTATCAGTTCATTAAAAAAAGGTATAAAAAATTTCACTTTTAAAAATATTTTCTTCTAAATTATAGAAAATTGCAATCGCACCAGACACGGTTCTTCATGTTACAGAGGATATGGATTTCAAACCTCATAGCCGGGAAATTGGAGACGAGGAAATGTCGATGGAGGAACAGAAAATGGACCACTATCGCAAAGTCTCCCGCGCCGTCAGATCGTTATGTTGTTACTTGTTGAAATACAATGGTAAGAAGAGTTGAATGAAATGGACATAAAAATATATTTTGCTTCGCTCCTTTTTGAGAAAATCAAATACATTGACATCCAAACAATGTTTACATTTTAATTAAGGTAGCACAAAACACTCATGGATTCTATTTTAACCCATTCTTTAAAAAGTACAGGAGAAAAAAGAAAAATATTACTATATTGACAGCAATTAATGATCCTTGTAAGAAAAATAAGTTGCAGCATCTTTTCATCATATTTTTTGAAAAAACAAGATGTGTTTGTGAAACACTATGCGCCCGGCGGCAACAAAGTTCAATAAACTATCTTTAGCAGATAAGTCACAGTCAGGGTCACAAAGTCATTGACCTTGGTGTCTTTTGAAAGAACTTAATCAGTGAAGTAAGCATACCAACTATGAAGTCTCTATCTTTCATGGTTCAAAAGTTATGGTGAAGGTACAAAAAAAGCTATTTTTAGCATGTAGGACACAGTCAAGGTCACAAGGTCATACACCTTGATGTCATTTGAAAGAGCTTTATTAGTTAAGAATGCATACCAATCATAGGGACTCTTCCTAAAGTTAAGGCGAAAGTTCTAAAAAGCTATTTTAAGCATATAGGTCACAGTCAAGGTCACAAGGTCATATACCTTGATGTCATTTGGAAGAGCTTCACTAATTGAGTATGCATACCAAATATAAAGTCTCTACCTTTCATGGTTCAAAAGTTATGGCGAAAGTTCAAAAAGCTATTTTTAGCATATAGGTCACAGTCAAGGTCACAAGGTCATTGACCTTTATGTCATTTGAAACAGCTTCATTGGTGGAGTATGCATACTAAATATGAAGTCACTATCTCTCATGATTCAAAAGTCATGGCGAAGGTTAAAGTTGACAACAGACAGGCAGACAAACAGACAGGACAAAAACAATATATGCCTCGGATCTATCGATCCGGGCACATAAAAAGAGAGAATCATATATATTGGTCACTTGAGAGCTTACATTTCAGAATGTGTTTGCGCTATCTAAATGGAATAAACAAGCATGCACATCCTTGTTATTAAATGCAGTATATCTTTTGTTCCATAAATAGTGGGCTGATATTTGGACATATATATAAGAAGTCTCCCTTCTTTATGTACTATAAAGGTTAGGGTCATATCAAGAGGTCAAATATTGTGACGTCAGCTACTGAATATTTTACTTTTTTTCCATTGAAATTTTTTAAATCGCCAAAATATCTCAAATAGCTGGTTCAGTTTTCTTCATTTTTTCGCATTTTATTCTATGACCCATTTGAATCATTCTGTTGAATTTTTGTAAAAATTTAGTGTTCAGAAAACTTCAAGTGTAGAATATTGTCAGGTGAATTTTCAACGCCGACGCTATGTATGTTCTATATTTACAGAATTTTTTACTCAAATTTTCCAGTAACAATACAACTTACTGAGTTTAAGTAAGAGAAAGGTTGTATAAACAATATTACACAAATTTGCAATAGATATATTACCAATGTTGAAATAAGGATCATTCTCAAGTCAAATGTCTAGTTTCACAATCTTCTCACGGGGGTCTGAAAGGCCATTCTCCAAACTATAATGGCAAAAAAAAAAAATGTGTTTAAATTTGAACATAGAACCTAAAACACAATATCAAAGTTTCAGAAAAAATGAAGTTTAGGAAAAAATTGGCCGTACTATTGTGTACTACCTTAATATAATAAAAAATTATATTAGGAAGTGCATGAGTACTAAATGAGTATGGACTAATCAGGGAAAGGCATCACTAGCTACTGTCCAAGAAAAAAGCAGTCGCTATGATCTAAGGTACATTTATTTGTAAAAAAGGTAAATAAACAAGTATTCTTTGAGTATTGCATTAGCAATAGTCTTTTACCTGAAAAAGTAATTTAGCTCTTAACAAAAACTAACAAGATATGTTTGTGAAACACTATGTGCCCTGCGGCAACAAAGTTTGAAAAAGCTATTTGTAGCATAGAAGTCACAGTCAAGGTCAAAAGGTCATTGACCTTGGTGTCATACGAAAGAACTTAATTTTAATCAGTGGATAATGCATACCAAAGACGAACTCTCAATCTCTTATGGTTCAAAAGTTATGGTGAAACTTCGAAAAATTTATTTTAAGCATATAGGTCAAGGTGAAAGGTCACTGACCTTGGTGTCATTTGAAAGAACTTGATAAGTGGAGTAGGCATATCAAACATGAAGTCGCTATCTCTCACTGCTCAAAAGTTATGGCGAAGGTAAAGGTTGACAACAGACAGACAAAGAGACAAACAGACAGACAGTACAGAAGCAATATACGCCCCGATCTATCGATCCGGGCGCATAAAAAAGGTCCTAGTTATGAAACATACATAACAAAGGTAAAAAAGTAAATAATTATTACTATTTTAATAAAATTACTTTTAACAAAAGCTGAGGAAGAACCCAAGGAGATGAAAAGGGATAACAAATGGACCGATCAATTAAGAAGCAGACTTTACACGGTAAAAAGCACTGCGGATAGCACCGATGGAGAAAAAAGCACAAACGAGTACGTGTTAAGGCCAGATATAGTTACCAATGAAAAGCAATCTGGAAGCAGACTGGACGTTAAAAAAGGCGAGAGAAAGAAGAAACCATCAGAAGATGACATCAACAAAGCCTTATTACTCTGGGCAATTTTCGCTCAGCGAGAGGAAATTGCTGAACTTTTTTGGTTGCACGGAAACAACCATTTAGGTACATACACGTAAAACTTGGTTCCATTTACAAAATATCACCCTCTTTTGTAATTTTCGTTCTTTGTTTCTACACTCTGTCGGATTTGGGAAATACCCTCTGCAATAACTGACCATACAGCGTGTTAAATACTCATAAATTTAATTGTATCCAGTTCTTGACCAACACTAAGGTTTATGCAAGGAAAAAAGTTTCGTGAAGTGATATTAGTAGAGGAAAAATTCCTAAATTCCTATATATTTCTTCATATCATTTTTGTGTTTTATTTCTTCTTTTTATTTCATTATGATTTACATTGCATGATGCCGTATAAACTAAATTAATAAATTGTTTGACAGTGTCCAGTCTAATATGCACCGTCTTGTTGAGAAAATTATCTGAAAAGGCAGATGATTACAATGAACATAACCTTTCCAGACATTTTGAAGAGCATGCTGGGTAATTGATAACCTGTTTCCGTCTTGATCTTCTTATCTATCATCGAATCTTTCTACTGACATGTACATGAGCCCACCTTACCAATTCTCCCCCTGCTCACCTCATGTTAGACCTGTTTCCAAAGATTCTTGGAAAAGAGGACTAAATTATGTCAAAACAGCCTTTTTACATGTAACTGGGTCGCTTACTTTCAAATAGTTTACTTTGGTCAGAGAGAAGGGATCAAAAGCATGGGAAACTATCATATAAAATATATAAATATCTTCTTTAAACCATTGCTTCTTTGTATCATTGATTGAGCCATAATTGATAAAGAGCTATGTACTTTATTTTAGGATGAAGATGGTAATACATTTCATAATCTTTAAACTTAAAAAAAGACGTCATAGAAAAATCAACGTCGTTATGAAATATTTACATTCATTGTAATTTTCTTTATGAAATGCGTTAGAAATTCACGACGTTCAAATCACTATAACACACGCGAAACCTTGTCACCGTGCGTTAGAATACACAGTAGGGACTATATGCATTTTCAATACTTTATAAACACCAACATGTACATGATTTGACACAATTTAATAAAGAAAAATTAACCCTGTTGAATTAACGTAAAAATACAACAAATGTGCATCTAAAATTGATTTCTCACTTTTTTTCCTCGCAATGTTCGTTTGCGTTATTAACTTTACGACGTCACAAACGGCTCTTACGTCTTTAAAGCACACCAGTTTTGAAGGGTGCTAAATTAACATTAAAGTTTTCAGAAATAAACAATTATGAAGAGGAAAAATTAAAGAATGTAAATATAAGTATTGAATTCATATTTTGGTATGTCTTCGGTCCTATAACACACCTGGCCGTGCCGACAAATTATCATATCGCGCTAACGCGCGGTATTCAATTTGTCGGCACGGCCAGGTGTGTTATAGGACCGAAGACATCCCAAAATTTGAATTCAATGCTTAAATGTAACTCTTCTTTTAGATTATTTGAAGAGCGAGTTCAAATGCTGTTGGACTTGATGTATCAAGAGAATGAAAAATGCGCCATCGCAGCAATGGACGAGGAATGTACCGTATTTGGAGTAAAAACAACACCTTTAACCTTTGCATATGAAAATCTTTTGTATGATGTGATTGCGCATCCCTGTTCTCAACGATACATGGATATGGTCTGGCACGCTAGAAATGTAAGGCTTTAGATTGTTGTGTTAAATTGTCTCTTTTGAGGTTTTATATCTTTATAAGCATTCCAAATCTTTATAAAATACAAAGGTTTTAAGTAATGTTGATAAAACTTATTATGATATAGTTTATCTTGGCGGAAATGGGGAAAGACGTTTATAAACTTTAAAAATTGTGACGTATTAACTATTTCCCTAAGCCATATGCTAAATGGACTGGTGGATCTATTTTTAAGATGTGCATTTTTTATTAGGTCACCTGAGTAAACTCAGGTGACCTATTGCTATCTGTTTTTGTCCGTCGTCGTCCGTCGTGCGTTAACATTTAAACATTTTCAGCTTCTTCTCTGAAACCACTGAACCAATTTCAACCAATTTTGGCATATAACATCTATGGGTGAAGGGGAACAAAAATTGTGAATTTCGTGGTCCCTGCCCCCCTGGGGCCTGGGGGTGGGGCAAAAACCACTAAAATTAGTGCAATCTTTAAAAATCTTCTTCTTTACTCCCAGACATCAAGCAATCAAACTGTTGGTATGATTGTAATCAGCATTGAGTCCTCTACCAAAATTGTGAAATTCATGGCCCCAGGGTCAGGGGCTCTGGGTTAGGGCGGGGCTCTATTGATTATATAGTGAAAATGCATTAATTCTTTGAAAATCTTCTTCTCTGCTCCTGGGTATTAAATAAACTAATTAAGTTCATAGTTATGATGAGCAAGAGTGCCTCTACCAAAATTGTGAATTTTATGGCCCCAGGGTCAGGGGTTATGGTGTTAGGGCGGGGCACTATTGATTATATTGTGAAAATGCATTATTTCTTTGAAAGTCTTCTTCTCTGTTCCTGAGTATTAAATAAACTAATTAAGTTCATAGTTATGATAGCAAGAGTGCCTCTACCAAAATTGTGAAATTCATGGCCCCAGGGTCAGGGGTTATGGTGTTAGGGCGGGGCTCTATTGATTATATAGAGAAAATGCATTAAATCTTTAAAAATCTTCTTCTCTGTTTCTGAGTATTTGATAAACTAACTAAGTACATAGTTATGATGAGCAAGAGTGCCTCTACCAAAATTGTGAAATTCATGGCCCCAGGGTCAGCGGTTCTGGTGTTAGGGCGGGGCTCAATTGATTATATAGTGAAAATGCATTAAATCTTTGAAAATCTTCTTCTCTGCTTCTGAGTATTAAATAATCTAATTAAGGACATAGTTATGATGAGCAAGAATGCTTCTACCAAAATTGTGAATTTTATGGCCCCAGGGTCAGGGGTTATGGTGTTAGGATGTGGCTCTATAATGATTATATGGTGAAAATACATTACATCTATGAAAATCTTTTTCTCTACTCCTAGGTAATAAGTACAATGAACTAGTAACATAGTTATGATGGGATGGGCTCTTCTTCCAGAATTGTGAATTTCAAGGCCCCTGGGTCAGAGAGACCAAAATGGGGAGGGGGTGCTCTACTTATATACTGAAAATGAATTGTTTGAAATCTGCTCCTTGGTATTAATCAAACATTTTTGATAAGTAAGTGTGCCTTTTCAAAAATTGTGCAATGTGTAGACCTAGGGTCAGGGGTTCATGTATGGTAGGAGCACTACTGATTATTGCTGAATATTACTGATTAGTTGACATACTTTTTTGTTCCCCTACCCTGCTTATCCATTTTAAGTAAACAAACTAAACAATTGCTAAGTGTATAATTATGATTAGCAATGGTGCCTCTTTCAGATTTGTGAATGCCATAGCATCTAGCTTAAAACATAAACCAAATTCAATAATTTGAAAGTTGTTGCATGATGCTCAGGTGACCTATAAGGCCCATAGGCCCCTTGTTAAAAAAAACAGAAAAGAAAACTGCTTTAACAAATGTCTGGCATATTGTTTGCATATACCTATTATATGCATCATTCGTTATTTCTGTTGGGTTAAAGTATTTATTTAAGTTTTAGGAAATCAATACCACTTGAAGTTAAAAACAAGATGTTTTTATGAAACACAGACGCCCCCGTATGGCAAATTATAGTGAGGGTTGAAATTTTTCAAATGCAAGTGAAAACTTCAGGTCAAAATAATTGGTACCCAATGAACGGTCTTTTTCACAAGGAATACTTCTGAGAAATATTAACGCCCTGGTACTAAAAATTTAAAGACACTTGGTCAAAGCTGACGATTTTTGTTAAAGTCGGCCTAACTCTAGGGTCATGGTCACGAAGTCAAATTTGGTGGTACACAGAGATAGGTCTTTTCGCAAGGATTACACATGTGAAAATGAAAGCCTTAACACATCAAGTCAAAAATCATGGGCAAGATTTAAGTTTTTGCGGACAAACAGACATGCAGACAAACGGACGGACAGGACAAAAAGTATACAGCATATGCATGTACCTCCAAAACTTCGTTTATAAGGGCATAAAACAGATTTCATTACACTTTATTGGATATAAAATGAAGAAAAAGGTCAATCTTAAATACTGTATACAGGAAAATTTTCGCCTACGTTTTATTTTCGCCCTCTCCTTGATTGGGCGAATTTATAAAGGGGCGAATTCAATATTAACCCTCATAAACTCTTAAGCAGAACTATGACTGGGCGAATTTAAAACGGGGCAAAACTGTTCATAAGTTCAAAAGGGCAAAAATAACCCTGTATACAGTATTTACTTTATTACGCATTCAATTTCGCTTTGTTAAATCTGTCCAAAATACTCAGACATGTTACCTAATATTTCCTTCTATACTAGGAAAACCTTGTGTCCCTTTTTGTTTGTTTTTTAAGGTAAATGGTGCAGTTTCCATAATTCAATTTTCTATACTTAATTCCAGACTGAAACAGACAATGAACAAGATGAAAAAGTCTCAGAAGACACATGTGTCTGTGGTTGCTTCAAGCCTTGTTGCTGCAAGCAAGAAGCATTTCGACCTAAATGGTCTCCTAAAATACGGTACATCATAAACTATGTAAGTAGAATTTTCTTATATAATGAATTCAATTATCTTTGTAAAGGCTCATCGAAGGGGCGGGGTGGGGGTGGGGGGTGGTTAAGTATCATTTTATAATTTAGTCTCATTTGATGAAGAATTCATCAATGGAGATAACTCAGGGAACAATATCAAAAGACAGTCTTGTCATTTACATTCAGTCGTTCAAGCCAATTAACAGTTCTGAGAGGAACATTTTTAAAAATGTAAAAATTAAAATCTGACAAAATGTTTCCTTTAAAACATTCTTCTTTGATATAGGTAATATTTTTTGGTGTGCTGGTGTCGTACAGTGACTTTGTGTTGACAAGTGTTAGTCACTACAAACGGGACTCCGCCAGAGCAATGGAATACATTGTTTACATTTGGGGGGTAGGAGACCTTCTTGAAGAGTATCGCCCATTTGTGGTTCGTATAACAATCCTAATTCAGGTAGATGACATGTTCCTTCTGATATTTAAGAGTTTAAACTTTCGAATATACTCACATACTTGTTATGAGTCAACAAATCTTGCTAGTAGCATCAAAGAAAGAGAAGGGGGTCGTGAAATAAACTGATCGCCCCCTACAAAAAAAGACCATTATCAACAATCTACGAAAACTTCTTTTTTTAAAAATTATTATCAGTTTCGACTTGAATGACCACCTAGATCCCGGTCCTCAAAAAAAAAACCCTTTACCACATCAGGTATCCAAGAGAAGCAATCATATACATTTGTATGCTGTTTGCTGGAGGAACTTTGACTTTATACCAAAGCTGTTCTAGTTGGATATGAAAAAAGATAGAAACCAGTGAAAAGCAAACATGAAAGGAGGAAAATTAGATAAAACTAGACTGTTGTAGCTACAGCAACAAAAACGGTCTTCCGTTCTCCTCTGTTTATCTGTATGAATGAACTTCTATCTATGTTAACAAAGGCATATAATATTTAAAATGATACAGGAAAACAAACGACCAGAGGTGTAACTTACCAAGATTCTCGACGTTCCTTTAGACAATTATAGTCTTAATAACATAAAACTCATTCTCAATTTTTTTATCACTTCCTGTGACGACCGGAAGTGTGACGGCGGACGCATTTTACGCTATATCTGTTGCCTAATCTTCATGGTTTATTATTCATATAAGTTTAGTTTCTTGATCTGTTACAGTTTAAGAGATCTCGTAATGTTAACTTCTTATTTTGAGGACAAGAAATCACGTGACCTGAAGTAAATTTTCAAAAAGATATTTGAGGTTACTCTAGACATTTCAGTCTGAATGAGATATCCTAAGATCATTTCAAATACTCTTTTATAAAAGATATGTATGGTTTAGTATGCTACTTAATTTATGCAGTTCTTTTTCTCATAACCGGAAGTTGTCGATTTTGTTTCCAGCGGGACTGATATATTTCAAAACTACAAATAAGACGCTTTAATGTATTACTAAGAAAGATTCTATAAAGAAATGTTGATTTTTTTTATTTATTTGATCACTTCCTGTGTCAACTGGAAGGGACGGCAGACGATTTAACCCAAACGGATTTGCCTTCTCATCAAGATCTACCACTCCTGTAATTTTGGTATCTTAATCTCTTACCGTTTTCGAGATCTAGCAAGGATAACTTATCATTTTTAGGACAGAAAATCACGCGACCGGAAGTGAGTTTAATAAAGATATTTGAGATTTCTGTAGACATATGCAGTCTGAATAACATATCCAAAATTCATAACAAAAACTTTATCTATAAAAAGTATTTATGGGAGAAAAAAATACTTAAATTATTTAGTTTTCTCTTATAACCGGAAGTTGTCGTTTTTGTTTCCGGTGGGACTAATATATTTTGAAACTACTATTAAGATGCTATAATGTGATACAAAAAAGTTTCATATAAGAAAAGTTGAAATTTTTGATTTCTTTGTTCACTTCCTGTGACACCCAGAAGTGATGGCGGACGATCTTATTACAAGTGGATTTGTCTACTTATCAAGATCTATTAGTCCTGTAAGTTTTGTGTGTTAATCTCTTACCGTTTCCGAGCTCTAGCTGTGATAACTTCTCAGTTTGAGGACAGGAAATCACGCGACTGGAAGTAAATTTCACATACCTATTTGACGTTACTGTAGACATTTGCAGTCTTAATACCATATAAAAAAATCATTACAAATACTTTATGCATAAAAAAATATTTATGGGAAAGAAAAATACTCAAAATATGCAGTTTTTCTCTTATAACAGGAAGTTGTCGGTTTTGTTTCCGGTGGGACTGACATATTTCGAAAGTATAAATAAGATGCTATAATATGATGCAAACAAAGTTTCAAAAAATAGAAGTTGAATTTTTCGATGTCTTTGTGACGGCGGACAATCTTAACCCAAATGGATTTGCCTACTTATCAAGATCTAACATTCCTGTAAGTTTGGTGTCTTAATCTCATACCGTTTCTTAGATCTCACTCGGATTAAATATTTTTGAAAAAAGCGGAATCGGACATATCTGACGAACGGAAGTGAATTTTGAAAAATATAAAAAAAAAACGTCTCGGGGTATTTTCACTCCCTATCATCCCTGAAAATTTCAGGAAAATCCGTCCAGCCATCTTGAGAAATCCTGCTGACAAGATTTGGGGAAAAAATAAGAAGAAGAATATAAACTAGAGAGTCAGCTATTGCAAGCAATAGCTTATGTCGCCCCGAACTGGACAAGACTTTCATTTTTTTTCATCACTTAAACGATACCCATTAGCTAAGCTTGGACAACCATCAACTCGTATGAGTACTTTCAGTACTTTGATTTAAAAATCAGTTAAATAATTTTCAATTTCCTCTGTTTTCCACGGCAATAATCGATTATTTGAAAATTTTAAATGCGAATCGCAGAACTACAGATACTAATTATTGAAATAAAAAAAGTTTCATGACGAACGTGTAAGGGACCGGAGAGAAAACTCGCGGACAAAATTCGTCGCTTTTTGCAGGTTTCCATGGCAACGGTAGACAAATTGGAACTGAACGACCTCACTGCACAACTACAACCAGTGATCGTCCTTTGAGGAAAGTTTCAGGAAGATTGTCCCAGCCATCTCCGAGAAACAGCCTGGATAAGAAAAACATACGTACAATCGCAATATGTCGTCCCCGACTTCGTTCGGGGCGACATTATAAGAAAAAACAGTGGAATCACTATAAGGTCTTCCGTCTGAAACGAAAGACCTTAATAAAAAAAAATATGTATATGTACATGGATTCATTGCGGTTTATTGATGATCAGAAATATTTCTTTAGGTTATTTTCTTCAATTTCCTCCGTGATGGCAAATGGCGAAGATTTCTGTTCCAATTAAAGCTTCATCTTAATGACTTCTGGAATGCAATGGACCTGTTGTTGTACATATCAATAGCGTTCGCCTTAGGCGTTAGGCACGCCGGGGACCAGGAGGACTTCACTTGGTCTAGGCGCATCTTCTCCTTCTCTTTGCTTATTATGTACATGAGGTTTCTACAGGCGTTTCTGATGACGCGAACTTTTGGAGCAACCATAATAATGATAAAGGAAATGGTACGTACAATAATAATATAATTGTTATCACAAGTAATGCCAATGGTTTTTGAACATGTGAATTCTTATATCAATGTTAATAAGAAATAAGTGTAATATATAAAAATTGTGGTGCAGTTAGGTGTCTTGCAAATAAAATGGTATTGAACATCCAAGAAAACATGTGAAATAAAAATTATACAATTCTACCTAATTAACGTAATCATTTCATTTTTATGCAAATTTTGGTTAAAAAACAAAAGACTAAAAGTTTGAAAGAAAGGAAGACAATTAAAACAGGATTTAAAACAAGATGTGTTTGTGAAACACTATGCGCCCGCTGGCAACAAAGTTCCAAAAAACTATTTTTAGCATATAGGTCACAGTCAAGGTCACAAGGTCAATAGCCTTGGTGTCATTTGAAAGAGCTTAATTAGTATTGCATGCATACCAAATATGAGGTCTCTATCTCTCATGGTTCAAAGATTATAGCCAAATTCCGAAAAAGCTATTTTAAGCATATAGGTCACAGTCAAGGTCACAAGGTCAAAGACCTTGGTGTCAATTAAAAGAGCTTCAGTAGTGGAGTAAGCATACTAAATATAAAGTCTATATCTTTCATGGTTCAATAGTTATTGCAAAAGTTTGAAAATGCTATTTTTAGCGTATAGGTCACAGTCAAGGTCATAAGGTCATTGACCTTGACGTTGTTTGAAAGAGCCTTTTTAGTGGAGTATGCATACCTAATATGACGTCTCTATCTCTAATGGTTCAAAATTTATGGCGATGGTTAAAGTTGACAACAGACAGACAAACAGACAGGACAAAAATAATATACGCCTCGGATCTATCGACCCGGGCGCATAAAAAATATTCATGAAATATAAACTTAAATATGTTTCGATTTTTCAATTAAGAGATATAGTTTTCAAATCAACAAGATGTGTTTGTGAAACCTATGCGCCCGGCGGCAACACAGTTTTAAAAAAACATTTTCAGCAGATAAATGAATGTCAAGGTCATAAGGTCATTGACCTTGGTGTCATTTGAAAGAAATTTATTATTGAAGTGTGCATACCAATTATGAAGTCTCGATCTCTCATGGTTCAAAAGTTATGACGAAAATTTTGTTAAATCTATTTTTAGCATATAGGTCACAGTCAAGGTCACAAGGTCATTGACCTTGGTGTCATTTGAAAGAGCGTCATTGGTGGAGTAAACGTATCAAATATATAGTCTGTATCTCTCATGGTTCAAAAGATATGGCGAAAACTCAAAAAGCTATTTTTAGCAAATAGGTCATAGTCAAGATCACAAGGTCATAGACCTTGGTGTCATTCGAAAGAACTTTATTGGTGGAGTATGCATACTAAATATGAAGTCTCTGTCTTTCATGGTTCAAAAATTATGGCGAAGGTTAAAGTTGACAACAGACAGACAGACAAACAGATAAACAGACAAGACAAAAACAATATACGCCTCGGATCTATCGATCCGGGCGCATAAAATAATTTCTTACATATTTTGAATATGTTTAAATATGTTAACTTCTAATGTATTTATTTCCAGTTAAAGGATCTGCTGGTTTTTATCTGGTTAGCTATATTTGTGATAGTAGGAGTCGGCATGTACTATCACGCTAACTTATGGCCAGACCACAGACAACTGTTTGGGGACGGATCTATAGAGACCTGGCGGATCTGGACTATCATCGCTCTTCCCTACTTCCAACTCTATGGAGATTCCAACGCTGATTTCCTCTCGGGTATGGAGAAAACTTTATGGTTAACAACCTTTCTGAGAAGAGAGCTAATTCATAGAGAGAATGTTTACTCTTGAAAAAGTTAATTTTCAAAATACATCGATCGACCTAAGGTTATTGCAATCAGATTTTGCACCGCAGGGAGAATTAAAATTATTGACTTCTTTAAATATTTCAAGTGTTTAAAGGATCATCTCATATGTGAAGATAGAATTTACGATTGTTTACATACATGGCGATGACATATCTGTTTAAAAGGAGAAATATAGACTTGCAAATTAGTATACAAGACATGCAAAAATGAGCTCTTTTGGGTTTGATTCACTAAAGAAAAAAATAATTATTTTGTTTAGCATTTAATTTTAAAAACAAAGTCTTTCTTAAGCTCCTGTAATCATTAACCACATTTCTTTAATAGGGGATGATAATGATTTAGACTGCACAACAAATGAAGCCGTCTGGTCATCGGATCCGACACGGGATCGGTGTCCTCGGGAAGATTGGACGGTCATGGTCATTGTAGCCGCCTTCATGCTTTTCGCCAACCTTCTGTTAGTTAATCTTGTCATCGCCAAGTTTAGGTACGTGTATGTTTTAACTATTGTTTTTCCTTCAAACTGAGGTGAGTGTACTGAATGGGTGAGTTAATTCTGTGAGAAACGGAAGTGAAATAATTTGCATCTGAATGTAAGTTTTTGTCGACACAATATGATATATATCGTAAAGTGTCTCGCAAAGCTTTAACTTTTCTTTAGTTTTGGTCAAAATTCAAAGACATAAATAAAGGCAGTAGAAAATACAAACACCTTTTTAAAAAATCTGTAATATAGGTACAGTTTGGCATAAAACCGGGTTAATAGGATTTTTTAAAAAGCTATTCATCCTTTCTTCGTTCTGTAAACTGAATAGGAAGCTTACATGAACATATAACATATGTAGTCTTTCTACAATAAGACGTCGCGCACAGAATTGAGGCTGATTTTGTAACGTCAAAAGATACTTTTCTGACGTTATTGCTGCATACGTCGTTTAAGCGTAAAAACGTCAAAAATTATAGGCGTAACAAATTAGACTAGACATTCAATTTTTGCTCCCATTTTCTTAAAAATGTCTTACTTTTTAGTGTTCCTTTAAATACAAACTTTTGTTTATTTGCACATTTTAAAAATAAGATTTTATTTGTTACAAGTTTTCCAAGTAAATAGAGAATACAGCTAATATTTGTGCTATACACCCGGTTAAATACCATCATACGCATATTTGTGTCGTAGTAACAAAACCGACTAGACATCAAAATCGCTTTATTAATCTGCCCTACTACTTGCTTAAAAGGAACAGTTGACTAGTTCTTGATTTGCACATTTCATTTAAATTATCAACTTAGTTTTACGAAAAGAACCTGTTATATATTAAAAAATCTTTACCAAACATTCTGTCATTTCTTATTACTTGACAAGATCACGGCATATTACAGAACCCTTTCAATTTTACTAACAGTCGAAATCGGCCAGTAAATTGGAAAATTATTAATGAAAATTGTGTGACATCATCACCGGACATTAGAAAAGCATCGTACAAATTGGCAGAAAAATCCATGTAGCCAAAACGATAAAATGACCAAAAATACTAACGTCCGTCGTTTACAGTGTTACAAGTTACGCAATTTCAAACCCCAATACTATGCGCGACGTCTAAACATTTTTAGCTCACCTGAGCCGAAGGCTAAAGTGAGCTTTTCTGATCACATTTTGTCCGGCGTCCGTCTGTCTGTCTGTAAACTTTTCACATTTTCGACTTCTTCTCAAGAACCGCTGGGCCAGTTTCAAGCAAACTTGCCACAAAGCATCCTTGGGTGAAGGGGATTCAAGTTTGTTCAAATGAAGGGCCACGCCCTCATTCAAGGGGAGATAATTGGGAATTAATGAAAATTGGGTGGCATGTTTTAAAAATCTTCTTCTCAAGAACCACTGTGCCAGGAAAGCTGAAACTTATGTGGAAGCATCCTGGGGTACTGTAGATTTAAGTTTGTACAAATCATGACCCTCGGGGGTAGGGCGGGGCCAAAATGGCCGACCGAAGTTTTACATAGAAATATATAGGAAAATGCTCTAAAAATCTTCTTCTCAAGAATGACAAAGCCATAATTCATCGTATTTATATGGAAGCATCCTCAGGTAGTGTAGATTCAAGTTTGTTCAAATCATGACCCCCGGGGGTTACTAAAATGGCCGACCAAAGTTTTACATAGAAATATATATAAGAAAATGTTTTTAAAATCTTCTTAAGAATAGCAAAGCCATAATTCATCATATTCATATGGAAGCATCCTCATGTAGTTTAGATTCAAGTTTGTTCAAATCATGACCCCTGGGGATAGGGCGGGGCCAAAATGGCCAACCAAATTTCTAGATAGAAATATATAGGAAAACTCTTTAAAAATCTTCTTCTCAAGATTAGCAAAGCCATAATTCATCATATTTATATGGAAGCATCCTCAAGTAGTGTAGATTCAAGTTTGTTCAAATCATGACTCCCGGGGGTAGGGCGGGGCCAAAATGGCCGACCAAAGTTTTACATAGAAATATATAAGAAAACTTTTTAAAAATCTTCTTCTCAAGAATTGCAAAGCCATAATTGATCATATTCATATGAAAGCATCCTCAGGTTGTGTTTATTTAAGTTTGTTCAAATCATGACCCCTGGGGGTAGGGCGGGGCCAAAATGGCCGACCAAGGTTCTACGTAGAAATATATAGGAAAATTCTTTAAAAATCTTCTTCTCAAGAATAGTAAATCCATGATTGGTCATGGGACTACTTTTGGATTTAAACTTTTCAATAATAAACCAATTTCTACTTTTTCCTAGCCACAGTGCTCAGGTGAGCGATGTGGCCCATGGGCCTCTTGTTTTAATCTATTTTAGCTACACTTTTGAAAAAGTGAAAAGTAATTCTGAGAAGCTCTGGATGTTTGAACGCTATGTAATCATCAGCGATTTTAAAGACCGGATTCCTTCACCCTTGAATATTCCTTTTGGGATTTTCAAATCCATTAAATATTTGTTTAACATTCTTCAGAAAAAGAGATTAAAATTTCATGGTAAGTAGATCAACATTGCATGCCTATGTCCGTAAAATTAGTTTTACTTAGTACGTATCTTATTATTATTAAATAAAAATGAAGTGTTTTTTAAATTAGAAAGTCAGAAAGAATCAGCTAAAAAGAAAGAGGAGAAGTGGCAAAAGAAAAGTGATTTTTTGATGAAATTTCAAAAAGTCATGGCATCAAGGGTTATCAACGAACAGAGGAAAAAACGAAGGAGCAAAAATAGTTCCCATTTGTAGGATTCTTTTCTCTGAGGTTATTGCATGAAGAGTTTTTTTTTTATTTTGACTTTCACTTTTTGTTATAATTACCAAATGACTTTAATTGTCTCCATGTTATTTTTAACAAAGAAAATGTTAATCTCACATGAGTTAAAAACTCAGATATTTTTCTTATCATGCATTGCATCATTATGGAGTAGTGTAGAAAGAGAAGAAAAACCGAACTAGATTTTATTACTGTTCCTTAATCACAGCTTGGATTTTTAGCTCTTCTGAGCCAAAGGCTCAAAGAGCTAATGCTATGGCCATTTGTGCGGTGTGCGTCGTGCGGTGTGCGTTAACTTTTTAGAAAATGGGCCATAACTCAAGAACGCCTTGGCCAATCAGTGTCAAATTTTTCACAGGGTATCCTTGGCCCAAGGGCTACCATTTATACTAAAATAAAGGTTGGGACCCTTAAACAAGGGGAGATCATCAGGGAAACAAAACCAAAAGTACTGGTTGCTAAAAAATCTTCTTCTCCAGAACCACTTGGCAGAATTTCACCAAACTTACATACAAGGACCAGGATATGTTGAAGATTAAAAATTGTTCAAGGCATGACCCTGGGGCAAAGGGCGTGGTCTCAAGGTCACTTCAAAGTTGACCTAAATTTACAATTGATAAAAACATTTATATTTTGCTTACTATAAGGACTAGGATCATCAAATCTTGTAAGTTGATGCATCTTAAAACTTCACATCATGTTAAAACAAAAGTAGGTCACAGTGACCTACTTTTTTAATTTTGCGGGCATTTGTTTTCAAATTGATTTGATGGCATATTTTGGACACTTTAAGGCCTATGATCATCAAACTTTGTTAGTTGATGCATCTTGGGTCCTTGAACAATGTCAACTTAAAAGTAGGTCACCTTGACCTACTTTTTGAACTTAATGACTTATCCTTTTTAAAACATTTAATCCCATTATTGCAGACACTGAGAGGGTTAGAATCATCAAATCTTGTAAATTGCTGCATCTTGGGACCTTAAAACATATTTATGAAAAAGTAGGTCACTGTGACCTACTTTTTGAATTTTGCATGCATATGTTTTCATATTGTTTAAAAGACATATTTTGATTACCTTCAGACCTACGATCATCAAACTTGGTCAGCAGATGCATCTTGGGACTTTGAAAAATGTTGACTAAAATGTAGGTCACAGTGACCTACTTTTGATATTTTATGGCTTTATTTAAGTATCTTTGGTATTTATTGGCTAAGAATCATCAAACTTTGTGAGTTGATGCATCTTTGGTTTTCGGAGAGTGACGACCAAAAAGTAGGTCACGGTGACCTACTTTTGACATTTTATAGCTTTATTTAAGTATCTTAGGTATTTATAAGCTTAGAATCATCAAACTTTGTGAGTTGATGCCTCTTGGGTTTTCGGAGAGTGACGACCAAAAAGTAGGTCATGGTGACCTACTTTTGACATTTTATAGCTTTATTTAAGCATCCTAGGTATTTATAAGCTTAGAATCATCAAACTTTGTGGGTTGGTGCATCTTGGGTTTTCGGAGAGTGATGACCAAAAAGTAGGTCACGGTGACCCACTTTTGACATTTTATGGCTATAATTAAGTATCTCCAGTACTTGTTGGCTTGGAATAATCAAACTTTGTCAGTTGATGCATTTTGGTTTTTCCAAGAATGTAGATGAAAAAGTAGGTCAAGGTGACTTACTTTTGAATATCTCACATACTTATTGGCTGAGAATCATCAAACTTTGTCAGTTGATGTATTTTGGGCTTTCGAAAATCGCCTACTAAAAATTAGGTCACAGTGACCTACTTTTAACATTTTATGGCTATAATTACGTATCTCCAGTACTTATTGGTTGGAATAATCAAACTTTGTCAGTTGATGCATTTTGGTTTTTCCAAGAATGTAGATGAAAAAGTAGGTCAAGGTGACTTACTTTTGAATATCTCACATACTTATTGGCTTAGAATCTTCAATCTTTGACTATTAATGCATCTTGAGTCCTCAGAAAACTTCAGTCATTGTGACCTACTTATGGTTTTTTTTATAGCTTTATTAAAATATCTTCAGTTATAATTGGCTAAGAATCATCAAACTTTGTCAGTTGATGCAACTTGGCTCTTAAAATACTTAGGGTTAGAGGCTTCAAATAGAAGTGATTAGAAGGTTGTACAATTTACAGAAGAGCGATTCAAGGCCCTTGGGCCTCTTGTTAACAAAATACTTCTTTCTGCTAAAAACCTAAACCATATGATACATGTAGCTGGAACTAACGATTTGTTATTCTTACTTCTGATGAAATATTAAACAAAATAATACACGTGTAATCACAGCAAATGATGTTGCATATTTTACAACTATATGTATGTTCTATAATAACATGTAATGAAATAAATTATTAAATTTTGTGTCATATATTAGAGATGAAAACGTTGCCATCTTGTAAAAATGGCTCAAGAATGCATATGTGTAAAGTTGTTTTAAAGGAAATCTCCTGTTAACCTAATGGTATAAAATATATAGAGAATGGATTGCAACATGTTTTATCTTTGCTATTTTCTGTTTAAGACATGGACATTTTGTCTACGGTTGAGACGAACGACACGTAGGATTGTCTTTTATTATATTTATTTTATTAAAATATAAAATACTACTTAACAATAAAAATAAACAAACTATTTAAAACATATTTTGTAATACTTTACATAATGCCGGAATTAAAAATATCTTTGTTTCCCCTAACCCGACCCTAAATTCTCAAATTGGGTCGGTAGGTAGGTAAACAATTTTTTTTCTGACAGCAGCTTTGAAAATACATTCTTAAATTTAATGGAAAATTACCTTTATAAATAAGAAAAGTACAAAAAAGCGATTTGTATACAAAATGCTAAGTATCATACATGTACCTATGCCGTTTAAAAGCAAAATTCATGATTAATTAATTCACAACTGTTATTTAATTGAACTTGTGAAATATCTCCCGCCAGAGACCAGAGTACATTTATATAAATTGAATAAACAAGACAAGATTCTCAAATACGCGAAGACCGGACATTCAAGTATATTTTTTTCAAACCTTCCATCAGCCTCCAGTGCTTACAGACAATCAATATACTTTTTTTGAGGGCCATGAGATTTACAGAGCTAAGAAGTAAGTAGCTAATTTTAAGTCGCATGTTCAAATCTCAATGAGGAACGTTGAATACGGTCCTTCAAAAGGGACCATAAAAACGTCCAGTGTCGCAGAAGATACTGGCTCAAAAAAGATCCCCCACTGCTTTATGGCAAAAAAGTGCTGAGTACGTCAAAATTTAGAGCAATGGGAAAATGTTCAAATGTCGTCCCAATAAATCTCGAAGGGATTAAAAGCTAAAAAACATCCAATCTTCAAGGGCCTAATTAAAGAAAAATACACTGAACGTCTCAGGAAGCTGAATCATGATTTCAAAACTATTTGGAAAGAGTATGCTAACAATATTTAATTGAATCAAACCGAATCTACAAATGATAAAAATGCTGTATACAATGTCATAGTCACGGAGTTTAAATAAAGGCACGAAGAAAGGACAGCTGATTTATATTTATCAGCATGAATATGCAGACATATTTACAACAACTCCTATGGTTCCATAATGACATACAGTAAACATAGGAACATAGCAACTGCTTTTTAGATCAAAACTCAAATTAAACAAGAGGCCCATGGGCCTTATAGGTCACCTGAGCATTATGCAACAACTTTCCAGTGATTGAATTTGATTCATGTTTTAATCCAGATGCTATGGCATTCACAATTTTGAAAGAGGCCCCATTGATCATCATAACAATACACTTAGCATTTGCTTAGTTTGTTTACTTAATACCCATAGGCAGGGTAGGGGAACAAAAAATGCATTTCAAGTAATCAGTAAGATTCAGCATGATCAGTAATGCCCAAATCACACATGAACCCCTGACCCTTAGGCCTAGATCCACACATTGCACAATTTTTGAAAAGGCACATATTTCGAACAATTCATCCAGTTTCAGTATATAAGTACAGTCCCCCCCTCCTTTATGGTACCCCTGACCCTGGGGCCTTGAAATTCACAATTCTGGAAGATTACGACCCTTGCTCATCATAACTATATAGGTAGTTCATCTGCTTAATACCAAGGAGCAGAGAAGAAAACTTTCAAAGATTCAATGTATTTTCACTATATGATCAATAGAGCCCCGCCCTATCACTAGAACCCCTGACCCTAGGGCCATAAAATTCACAATTTTGGAAGAGGTATTCTTGCTCATCATAACTTTGTAATTAGTTTATTTCATTCCTAGGAGCAAAGAAGAAGATTTTCAAAGAATTCATGTATTTTCACTATATAATCTATAGAGTCCTGCCCTAACACCAGAACCCCTGACCCTGGGGCCATAAAATTCACAATTTTGGTAGAGGCACTCTTGCTCATCATAACTATGCACTTAGTTTGTTTATTTAATACCAAGGAGCAGAAAAGAAGATTTTTAAAGAATTCATGTATTTTCACTATATAATCTATAGACCCCCCCCTTACACCAGAACCCCTGACCCTGGGGCCATAAAACTCACAATTTTGGTAGAGGCACTCTTGCTCATCATAACTATGCACTTAGTTAGTTTATTTCATACCCAGGAGCAGAGAAGAAGATTTTCAAAGAATTCATGTATGTTCACTATATAATCTATAGAGCCCCCCCCCCCCCCTACACCAGAACCCCTGACCCTGGGGCCATAAAATTCACAATTTTGGTAGAGGCACTCTTGCTCATCATAACTATGCACTTAGTTAGTTTATTTAATACCCAGGAGCAGAGAAGAAGATTTTTAAAGAAATAATGCATTTTCACTATATACTTATTTGGCCCCGCCCTAGCACTAGAACCCGTGACCCCGGGGCCATGAATTTCAAAATTTTGGTAGAGGACACAATGTTGATTACAATCATACAAACAGTTTGACTGCTTAATGTCCAGGAGTAAAGAAGAAGATTTTTAAAGATTGCACTAATTTTAGTGGTTTTGGCCCCACCCCCCAGGGGGGCAGGGACCATGAAATTCACAATTTTTGTTCCCCTTTACCCATAGATGCCGTATGCCAAATTTGGTTGAAATTGGTTCAGCGGTTTCAGAGAAGAAGCTGAAAATGTTCAAATGTTAACGCACGACGCACGACGGACGACGAACGACGACGGACGA